TGTTGAAAGAGCTATGATGTTGAGATGCACTTCCCAGTGAGGACCCGGGCTGTTCCAATGGCAGCTATGCACCTGGCTGTAGGCAAGGGGGTGAAGTGCTCATTGGAATCCTGCCAGAAAAGGAAAGGTGCAGGGCAGGTGGCCTGTGAGCAGCTGGCTGCTCCAGACAGGCCAACCAACTGGCATCTGGGAAATAGACCCTCCTCATGGTGGTGGGAGAACCCAGTGGTATCTCATCTGATTGTTACTTAGGGACCCGCCCAGGCCTGTGGACTTTTATAAATATCGAAGCATGGCAGGCTTCTTGAGTTTGACTGAATCCAAACATGAATCTGGGAAAGAAGCTTAGCAACTGGCAGGGGCCGTGAAATAGAAACGGTGGTGATATTTTATACTATTAAAATGCTACTTGGAATGGAGGAGATAGTACAGTTGGTGCTTGCTCTCTTTACATTATCTCATTTTGTTGTTTTTTGTTTATTTTTTTATTGTGTATGTTTGAAATACATAATACACTTCTAACATGCTCTTGATCTAACAGGACCATTCCCCTCTTTCTGGACAAAAGCACCTAAACCCTATTTCTTTGTGTATGGGAGGATTCCAATAAAACAGTGTTATTAACTATAGTTTTCATGTGGTGCACTCCGTCTCTCTGGACTTGTCTTATATATCTGCATACTGTCACAGCAACCAGGATGTAAAAACAGCCAAAACATCTTCTGATCAATGAGTGAAAAAAGAAACTGTTCCAGGTACACAGTGGGATATTATTCAGTCTCAGAAGAGAAGATCCTGCCACTTGCCACAACACGCATGGACATCCTGCTAAGACAGATCAAAAGCTATCGCATAGTCACACTTACATGTGGATTTTAAAGTTGAATCTACAGAGATGGAGAATAAACTATGGTGGGAAAGGGAGCAGAATCAGGGAGAGAGAATTGCTATTGTTATGGTTTGACAATGTTGCCCCAAAAGGGCTCATGTATGGAAGGCTTAATTCTCATTGCGGCTGTTTTGAGAGCGGAGGCTTGGGAAGGTTGTAAGGCCACAGGGGCTATGACATCATAGGAAGGTTAATCCACTGATAGCTTTATAATTCAATGACATTTTGAGGCGGTGGCACAATTAGGAGGTGGGGCTGAGTTGGAGGGAGCAGAGCTTTGGGGACCTTTGAAGTGTGTCTTGTCCAATGCATGATTCTTTCTTTGCTTCCTGGCTGCTGTGGGGTAAAATGCTTCCTCTCTACACATCCTGCTGCCTAGATGTTTAGTCTCACCTCAGGACCAAAGAAGCAGACCACGTGGTCCAGCTGACCATGGACCTTGGGGGCTGTGAGCCAAAATAAATGTTTCCTTCCTTAAGTTGCTTCTCTCTCTTGTTTTATCGTGGAAATGAAATACTGAACACGATGGTTAGTTTTAATTGTCAGAGTGTCTGAATGAGGGGTTCCCTAGATCAGGTTGGTCTGTGGGCTTGTCTGTGGGGGGTTGTCTCAGTTGCCCTAATTGACTCTGGAAGACCCAGGCTGAAAGTGGAATGTGGCCCTCCCTAATTTGGGGCCCTGGACAGTGTAAGAGCATAGAAAGCTCGCTGGACACTAAGCACACATCCATTCATTCCTCTCTGCTCTCACGTGTAGTTGTGATGTGGCCTGCTGTTTTAAGTCCCTGCCTTGACGTCTCTGCTATGATGGACTGGAACCTGGAATCGTGACTATTCTATTTCTAAACTATTTCTCTCTAAAGCTGCTTTTTGTGAGGGTATCAACACCAGAAATGGCACTAGAATATCGACTAACACAATTACCTCATAAACATTCTAGGACCTGCATAGAATAGGGTGTGTGTGCTTTTTGTCTGTTCATTTGGTTTTTTGGGACAGAATTTATCTGTGTAGTCGGGCTGTCTGGACTTGCTTTGTAGACCTGGCTGGCCTCAAACTCAGAGATCCAGCTGCCTCTGCCTCCTGAGTGCTGGCATAAAGATGTGTGCCACCACACCCGGCCTAAGGAAGTGTGTACTTTTGATAGCACAGACACAACATGCTGATCACCCAGTCTGTATTATCTCATTCAATTACAAGAGCACTCCGTGGAATGAGCAGGTATCAACTTTTGCAGAGGAGGGATCCAAAGCTCAGCAAGTTTAAGTAATTATCTTAAGCTGGTAAGTAGCCAAGATCTGAATGGCTGTATTTTTTTCCTGCCACTCTGCTTGGCCCCATTAGGCTATGAGCAGCTGTGTGAGATGAAGCTCCCATAGAGCATAGAGCACTCAGTCACCCTGTTCATGCTGCCAGTTGCTTCTCCTGGCATCACTGCCAGGATCTCCTGCTGGTGGTGGGGATGCCATTGCGCAAATTGTAAGAATTTATCATTCTGAAATAATGCAAAGCTCATCACACAGACTAACTTTAGGCAGGTTCTCTGCTCAAGTCTCAAGGCTCAGACTTCTCCAAAAACAGCAGGTCTGCTGCAGCACTGACCCCGGCCCAGGGGGATGCAGAGCTAGGCTTTGGGGGATGCAGCTGCCTCATTTTCCCTTCTCAGGTGGTATCTGTCCAGAGCTCTTCACAATTCAAGAGGAGATAGAGCTTGGAGGGCCAGGCATTTGAAGGTATTTGCAGTTTGCAAAACACGCTGTGTAAAACCACAAGGTGATTCACACTATTTCTTACAGCCGAGACCATCAGAAAATCTAAGTAACTCAAAGCTGAGGAGTCACCCTGGATGTAGTTCCTTTGTCCTGCAGAGAAGATAGCCTTGTCTCTTCCCAGACACCCCTGAGGCTAGTGAGAGGCATGGCTTTGGGGGCAGAACTGGCACAGTAGGTGATTAAAGCCTCCTATTGGGTTGTGTCTATTGATGATGTTTTGTCTATTGGTGTAAAGTGTTCTGCAAATGAACAGCCACCTTTTCCCCCTCAATGTTCTACTTCTTATTAATTCTTAACATTTTTATTACATATATTTATATGTGTGTGCATACATGCTTGAACATGTCTGAGTCTCTGTGTCTATTGTGTGTGTGTCTATGTGTATGCATGAGCATAATTGAATGTGTCTGTGTGTCTGTCTGTCTGTATTTGTGTATGAGCATACTTGAACATGCCTCTGTGTGTGTGTGTGTGTGTGTGTGTGTGTGTGTGTACCATGAGGTATATGTGGAGTCAGAAGCATGTAGGCGTTGGTCTCAGTGCTCTCATCTATTACCTAGGGTTGAACCCAGGCTCCAGTGCAAGGGCCATTACCAGCTGTTCCCCCTAAGTCTGGGGAATTTTGAAGAATGCAGCAGAGAGGCGTGCAGAAAGAGGGGCGTGTGTAGAGGAAGGTAGTTTTATGCCCTTTGTGAGCAAAAGATGAGGCTGCAGGTGACATTCTGGAGAGGAGAGACTGTCTTTAAAACTGCTTCACACATTTTCTTGATGCACACAGCGTAAACATGCCCACTAGTCACTGGCATCATCTCCTAAGGAAGGCTGAGTTTCCCAATCATGGGCACTTCTGGGAAGAGATGCCCCTGGACCTGCTCTCTATGGGCTCCTCCACACTGTGCCCCAATGAACTCAGAGACAGAGTCGAGGGGAGATGCATCTTGGTGACTTTTTGAGGGAGAACATGGGGCTTGCAGCTGAACTGTTTAGACCTTAGACAAATCTCTCCTGTGGGCTCCCCTTATTCTTGTGAACTGATGGCCATTAAAGATGGTGGTTGAGACCCTGTTTCCCTCCCCAGAAAGCTAAACACTAAATATATTAGTATTCACTCTGTCCCCAACCTGCCCAGGAGAAGAACACACACAGAGGATGCCCCATTACAAACAATGCTTTCATGTATTAGTCTATGACCACTTAAAATGAATACCTATTTTAGAGCAGGATGTAAACTTTTAAAGATGTTTTTCTTTGTATCTGATAGAGCTACAAATGCTTTCTATTTAAAAAAAAATAAAGTAAAGTAAACCCAGCAAACAACAAAACTAAAATGTGTGGATTTATGCAACAATACATTACACATACGATCTAGCCCACAGCTCCTCTACTGTACTGACTTGACCTACACCCGAAGAAATACCTGCACTAGAGACACTCAGGATCCAGTTCTCAGGTCCAAGCCTAGATGAAAATAAACTCCAGAGATAGATGAAAGTTCTGAATGGAACTGTGAAAACTGGGAGGAAGGTCGCTGAGCTGCTAATAACTCAGTGTTCCTGAGAAGCAATTCGTTTGGTTTGGGTTGTTCTGAGTTAAAAATGCACTCAGGAGAAATGAATCTTCCCCAGTGTATGTGATCATCCATCTACTCACAGACACATTTGTGCTAAAAGTCGTGATCCAGATACCTGAATCCTCTAGCCCTCAAAGGCTTGCTATCAGGTGACCTCCAGGAGGTCCTCTTTCGCAGGGCCAGCCTCCTCCAGGACGGTCGGATGCCTGCTTAGAGTCGGGTTTATCAGGGCATCTGCTAACTCCTGCTAAGGACCCTAGTCATCTCCACTCTGGCCTACAAGGGGGTGGGAGTGGGGCTGGATCTCATCCAGCGCAACACCTGGGTTTTGGTAGAGGGTGTCCCTGAAGAGTAAGATTTTATTTTGGACCTACAGAATTCAGCACCAGGGCCAGCTCAGAGATCAAGGGCAAACCTGTTGAGACCTCTCTTAAGGATGGAAAATGCAAAGGAAAGATAATGACTGAGCAGGTAGAATGTCGCTGAGAGTTCCCTCCAGCTGAAGCTTTCCATGGAAAAGCATAGGACATATTTTTAACAGCTGCTTTGACAGGCCTGCCTGACGCTGTGTCTCCTCTGTAAGCGTCCCCCATGAGAGAGGTGCTGGTTGCCTGCCTGACACAGGACAGCTGTTCCTCGCTGGAATTGTGAGAGCGGAACCTCCTGGGAGGCAGGGCGCAGGGCCTGGCTGTGGGCTCCTCTGCCTACAGCTGGATCAGGTGACACCTATGCGGTCGGCCAACAGTTCCCACGGAGGGAAACGGAGCACCATGTTCAGAAAGCTCCATTCCATCTTCCACCACGGCCCGCAGGGGAAGGCAGCAGCCGAGCGCCCCTACTACGTGGGAGCCAGCCCCACCGTCAGGCTAATTCGTAGCAGCTCCATGTATGTGGTTGGGGACCACTTTGAGAAGTCCAGCGAGTCCTTAAAAAAGTACAGAAGCACCCACAGCATGGACACCAGCCTGCACTATCTGCAGCAGGAGGACCGTGCCTGGATGTACTCGCGCACCCAGGACTGCCTGCAATATCTTCAAGAGCTGCTGGCCCTGCGCAGGAAGTATCTCAGCACCCTGAGTGACCTGAGGCCCCGGCGCATGCAAGGTGATGGCTCCACCTCCTCCAAGTCCTCCAAGGGAGCACAAAAGACCCCAGGAGAAGGCAAAGTAAGTGTGGGGTGGCCTGGCTGCAAGCCGTGGTTCTTCCCAGAGTCTTGGGACCCTTGTCGGAAGTCTTCACTACTGATTGGGTCGGTCAGGTTCCAGGATGGGCTGCTGTCCCCAGACGTCCCAGGTTCCTGGCCTTGGGGGAAACTTCTTTCTACTGCAGAGGAGATAGGGGACTGGATCAGAGCAGGAGACAAGGGCATGGGCTTCAGAGCCACCAGGTTCCCCACTTGAGGTTGAATTGCCTGACTTGATAGAGGGGTGATGCTTGCATGGCTTTTGGGGGACAGCAACAAATCTCCCCATGAATGATTACTCTTAAAACAACTGCTGTGACCACATCTGAAAGGCCTCAAACCAGATCCAAGCACGACATCAATGAAAGAAACCTCTCGTGTTCCAGATCTTCTGCTTCAGAAGGGCAAACTGAGGTTCAGGGACCCACCCCTGTCTGCCAGGCCAGTTATCCCTTTATTCATTTTCTTGGCCTGTTTCATTTTATGCCAAGGGTTTCTCTATGCGGCCTAGGATGGCCTTGAACTTGCGATCTTCCCACCTGGGCCCCCTGAAGGCTAGGGCTAGAAGCCAGTGCCACCATGCTACCATTTCCCGCTGTGTTTCCTTATTTATCGTGCCCATCGGGTTTGAGTGTCATCTGTTGCATATTTTTAACAATCGTTTTCCTGATGGCAAGACTTAAGTGTGCAGGGCGGACTCCACTCTCTCCCCCAGAGTGCCCCGCGGGCTCCTCAAGGTCCATTAATGTTGAATGGCTGATTGGACTGCTATCAAGTCTCTAGGGCTCGGCTTAGCTAACAGGTTTCAACCGTTTGCATTTCATATTAGGTGGAAATGGGTTAAACAATCATTTGAACTGTGAAAGTAGGTCAGCATTGAGCCCCGAAGAGGGCCTCCTCGTCTAGGGTCAAGATGCCCAGGCCTGTGCCAGCTGGCTATGGGTTTTGAGACAGTTTCTTCTACTGGAACTGGCATTGGTGACAAAGGGGTCTGCAGGGCTCTGGGCTCCCTTCCAGCTTGGCTCTCTTGGGAGTCCGGGTCTTGCTTAGCTGTGTACGGAGAACAGCTCTGTAGTTCCCTGCAGATGAAGCCCGCTCTGTTAGGACACAGTTGGTTTCTTACGGTGCTGAGGATGGGGGTGGCCACACAAAAGCTCTAGGCCTGTGGAGCAGCTGTAATGCACACGGCCACCTGCCATGGGTGACCTCCACAGGTTACCTGGCAGCTCAGTCCATAAACTTCTCTTCGGTTTCCCTGTATTTCAGAAAAAAATTTGAGAACAGGCATTGGTAAAAGAAAATGGATTTATTTACAGTTTGACCAGAACTGGAGATAGAAAACTTAGATTCTTTCCCCTTTCCTGAAACAATGTTACAATTTTGTAGAAAAGACAATGTTTCAATTTTATAGAAAGAAAGGCAGATGCTGATTTGGCTGTGAGAGCGGCTGTCTGAACCATGTAAAATCTCTTGCAGGGAGGCAAGCCTCTCCCTTGGAGCCAGGGTTTCAGCCTATTTTCTCTGCAGGCACTGGACAATTGTAGTTCTTTGGGCCATTGTTTTAGGGTCCTTTACCTAAGAAGGGAGCATATTGAAAGGGTGCTGAAGAACAGACTGAAGTTTGAATTTTTGCTCTTCTGAGTTTTTTGGGCCGGTGGAGTAGTGTCACCTCACAGGACCCAGTCCATCCTGCTGTGCCCAAGTTTAGTACCTCAGAAATGCCAGGAACACCCAGTCAGCGGCCATAAACCAGCCGCTGGAATCCTACAGAAAGCCACAGGCTGGCCAGCCTTGGCTGTGAGAGGATGCATTCAGTCTCCAGGGCCAGCAGGGCAGCCACCAAGAGGGCTCTTCCCTCCTCAAATGCCATAGTCCCACGGATAGTCAGGATTTAGGGCCCCACTGTTCTTTTTCCTGCTCTCCCTTTCAGGTTGAATTGTATGTAGTCTCTGAAAATTCACATGTTGAAGATCCGGTCCCCAAAATCACCAAAGGAGATTTTATTTGGAAATGTTGTACCGAAAAGTTTTAGGGTTAAAGTCCAGGATTGGGAAGTCCCAACAAATTCCAGTTAAAGAGAAAAGCAGTCGTGAAAGGCAGAGAAAGAGCATGTGTTCAGTGTGGCCACATCAGGAAGAGGAACAAGTATAGGATTCCAGTTGTTTCCAGAGTTTTAGTGTCAAAGCCTGAGCTCTGGAAGGCGTAATGAACAATGTATCCCAGTACACCAATTAAAGAGACAGGGCTAGTGAAAAGAGAAGGAAGGAGAGGCAATTAATTTGGCTGCAGTGAGAAGAGGAAGAAAAATTATTCATCTTCAGGTCATTGACATGAGTTTAGGCTTAATACCGGACAAGCAGGATGTACAGGAAAGCAGCCCTGGGCAGGGTGTGCTGTCCTCATTAGTGACCCATCACGGGCTTGCCTCTGGTCTGTTCTGCAGGGTGGCCTTGAAAAGTTGTTAGCACCGTGTGCTCTCTCTTCCTTGGAGGCAAGTTCCTTCCCTGGAAGCAGAGTTTCGGTCTTTCAATGCTGCAAGTGTGAGATCCCTAGGGGAATTTTAATTCTCCTGTGTGTGTGTGTGTGTGTGTGTGTGTGTGTGTGTGTGTGTGTGTAGGTTAGAGGTCAACTTCAGATATTATTGCTCATGAGCCATCTACCTTAGATTTGGGGACAGCATTTCTCTCTGGGATCTGGGGCTCACCGACTAGGCTGGGCTGGCTGGTCAGCAAACCCCCAGGACCCACCTCCCAGGCACTGGGATTATAAATGCACTTTCTGTGTGGGTGGTGGAAACTGAACTCAGGTCCCCATGCTTGTGTGGCAAGTGCGTTATTGACTGATCAAGTTTCGTAGCTTTGAGATTTTTTTCACTTTCTTTTTTTAATATTATAAAATAAAATAAAATAATACATAACACACAAAGACCATCTTCCCTCCTCCTCCCCCACCTCCGCAATCCCCTCAATCCACCCCCCATTCCCATTTCCTCCAGGGCAAGGTCTCCCCTGGAGATTCAACTCAGCCTGGTAGATTCAGTCGAGGCAGGACCAGTCCCCTCCTCCCTTCACCAAGGCTGAGCAAAGTGTCCCAGCATAGGCCCCAGGCTCCAAAAAGCCAGCTCATGCACTAAGGACAGGTCCCAGCCCCACTGCCTGGGGGTCTCCCAAACAGTTCAAGCTAATCGACTGTCTCACTTATCCAGAGGGCCTGATCCAGTTGGGGACTCCTCAGCAATTGATTCATAGTTCATGTGTTTCCACTAGTTCGGCTATTTGTCCCTGTGCTTTTTCCAGTCATGGTCTCAACATCTCTTGCTCATACAATCCCTCCTCTTTCTCACCGATTAGATTCCTGGAGCTCCACCTGGGGCCTGGCCGCTTCCATCAGTCATTGGATGAGAGTTCTACCATGACAAGTAGGTTTTTGGTCATCCAATCACCAGAGTAGGTCAGTTCGGGCTTTCTCTCCACCATTGCCAGTAGTCTATTGTGGAGGCATCTTTGTGGATTTCTGGGGACCTCTCTAGCACTTTGCTTCTTCCTATTCCCATGGGGTCTTCACTTATCATGGTCTCTCTTTCCTTGTTCTCCCTCTCTGTTCTTGATCCAACTGGGATCTTCCACTTCCCCAAGCTCTCTTTCCCCTGACCCTTGCCCTCCATTACCACCCCCTCCCCGTCCAGTTTGCTCCTGTAGATCTCATCCATTTCTCTGTCGTTGGGCAATCCCTGTGTCTTTCTTAGGGTCCTCTTTACTAGGTAGCCTCCCTGGAGTTGTGAGTAGTGGTCTAGTCATCCTTTGTTTTACATCTAGTATCCACCTATGAGTGAGTACATACCATGTTTGTCTTTTTGAATCTGGGTTACCTCACTCAGGATGATTCTTTCTAGTTCCATCCATTTGCCTGCAAATCTCATGATGTCATTGTTTTTCTCTGCTGAGTAGTACTCCATTGTGTATATGTACCACATTTTATTTATCCACTCTTCAGTTGAAGGGCATCAAGGTTGTTTCCAGGTTCTGGCTATTATAAATAATGCTGCTATGAAATTAGCTGAGCATGTGTCTTTGTGGTATGATTGAGCAGTCTTTGGGAATATGCCCAAGAGTGGTATAGCTGGGTCTTGGGGAAGATTGATTCACAATTTTCTAAGAAAGCGCCATATTGATTTCCAAAGTGGCTGTACAAGCTTGCATTCCCACCAACAGTGGAGGAGAGTTCTCCTTGCTCCACATTCTCTCCAGTATAAGCTGTCTTCAGTGTTTTTAATCTTAGCCATTCTGATGGGTGTAAGATAATATTGAGATTTTTAAATGGGAACCATTGTTTCAGCAATCTGATGGCACACGTCTCTCTAAAAATGTCTCCTCTGCTGTCAGACCTTTTCAGACCTCAGTTTTTGAGAGGTCTAGGGTGATATGCTGGGTTTGTGAAAAATATCTGAAATGCTTTTATTACTCAAAGAAATATCACAAGTAGTATTGGAGGGGCCAAAGTCAGAGCACATGTGACCATGTGACCATGCATAAACGCCACAAAACTGTGACTTCTCACCTTGAGCTGCTTTTGGAAAGGCTTCTGTAAGTGATTCCATCCCTGTTGCTGTTTTGAGACAGGTTCTTCCTATGAAACCCTGGCTGTCCTCAAACTCAAGACCTCCCTGCTTCAGCCTCTCAATGAAAGGCAGGCACCTCCTGTCCAGTGTGACTTCATTCAGGGTTGATAACTCCCTTTCTTGCTTCTGAGCAATTTTCTTTGAAGACATTGATGATTAGCATCTTGTTCGATATCAACTTTCCTTCATTACTGGGACAAGATCTGGCCCAGATGGGCTGATACGGTCCTATATCATGAGGGACAAGTAACAGAGGCCAAAGGGTTAGTGCCAATAAAACCCTTTATGAGTAAATTTTAAGCAACTAAGTGCTATAAAAGGGATGGCTCTTAAGCCAAGCCTACTCTTGAATTTTATGCCATCTGTCCTGTGGGTGATAACCTAATATCTTAGGGGGATAATTTGTCCAGAGTCCTTTGTTAGAAACTGCTTCTGCAGGATATTAACCAGAAATGGCCACAGAGTTACATAAGATGAATATAAAACACAGCCAATAAAAAATACTTAAAGAAAACTAGTTTGTGGGGCTGGAGAGATGGTACAGAGATTAAGAACAAGTGCTGCTCTTCCGGAGGACCCAAGCAGACATCCCAGATTGGGTAATTTACAACCATCTGGAATTCCAGCTTGAAGGACTCAAGTGACTTCCCTGGCCTCCATAAGCACACAGGTGACATTCACTTACACATCCATGCACACATCCACATAAAAAATATAAATAAATCTTAAAAAGAAAATTAAAAGAGAAAGTCTGAAAAATCCAGTACTTGCTTATAGATGTACTTTATGACCGATGCCATTGCCTTTAATTATTAAACATGCCCAATGTTAGGGCTTATCTAGTTCTCATTACCTAAAGGGCTAGTTCATGACACAATTAGGAACTTCCCTGGGGAAAGTTAGTTCCACTAATAATTCTAGTTTGGAAGACACTGGTTGGGGAAAATATTCTCTGAGTTGGTTTGAATGAGAAAGGTCCCTATAGGCTTATATATTGGAAAGATTTGTCTCCAGCTGGTGGAACTGTTTGGAAAAGATTAGAAGATGTGGCCCTTTTTGGAGGAGGTATGTCACTATTAGGGTGGGCTTTGAAGTTCACAAACTCATGCCATTCCCAGTTAATTCTCTCACTCTGCACCCCCCATTGTGTATGAGAATGTAAACTCACAGCTACTGATCCAGCACCATGCCTGTCAGCCTGCTGCCCTGTCCCCTGCCATAATGGGCATGGACTGTAACCCTCTGAAACTAACCAAACCCCCAATAAACTCTTTCATAAGTAGCCTTGGTCATGGTGTCTTATTACTGCAAGAAGAAAGTAACTCAGGCATTCTTCTAAGTATTACATCTTAGAAGGCTTATGTAATGCAGATAGGATATGCATTTAACTTGTGCTTTTTTTTTTAACTTTAGACACAGAGAATTAGGTTCTAGCAGTGTTTTAAAGTGTGTGTGTGTGTGTGTGTGTGTGTGTGTGTGTGTGCATGTGTGTTATGTGCACAGAGATGTGTGAACATTGAGTGTGTGGGTGCTCACCTAGAGCAGGGTGATGAATAGCCTTCTCTATTGCTCTCTACATTGCCGCCTTAAGGCAGGATCTCCCACTAAGCTGTTCTGGCTCAGCTTGCCAGCCAGTGTCTTCTGGGATCCACCTGTCTGCCCCCAGTTTGCGGTAGGTGCTGGGGATTCCAGTTGTCATGCATGCTCAGGAAGCACTTTCCCACTGAGCTGTCTCCTAGCCCCAGGGCATTAAAATTTGACCTTGTGAAATCCTTCAGATAGTTATTTTTGAAATACCTTTTATAATTTCTACAAAAATAACATAATTACCATAAACAGATATTCCCTAGTGCACAAGTGTGCTGTGTATGTGATAGCCCCATTTAACTAGGCTAGGAAATCTTTAAAATCATTTCAGCCTAAACAGAAATTTAAATAAGTTCTGATTCTTTTTAAAAGAAAACTTGGAAAAACTAGGATAAAAAAACCATAAAATTTTTATCTTTTCATGTTAGCCCTTTTAAAATTTTACCAAAAGTAGATCGTTAATCTAAGAAATACTGATTGTTTTGGACACAAAGCATTTTAAAACCTTTACTAAAAAGATTTTGTAGACAGACAGCATTTTGTTTATGGTTAACTAATTACATATAAGTCTTTTAAGATTTACTTTTCTCATAGACTTATATCTATACTCCAGACAAAGTACAGTTGGTATTTATTGATACAATCATCATTAAATTCATACCTAAAAAGTCATTAAAATATGAACAAAATTTCTAATAACGCTTTATCATATTATGTCAGAGGATTACATATATAGCACTCTATTGTGTACATTACAAGAGCATTTTCTGTTACAAATATAAGTATCTAATGACCCAACACAAAGACTCTAAGCCTAACACTACCTTTTCATGAATGATGTTTGCACCAGCTTGATAAATTTGTAATGTACATACTGCCAAACTGGATGAGCAAATACCTAATCTCTTGACATTATTTATAACACAGTGCACTATCTGCTACCAATGACTTGGCATTGGGTGACACCCTTGTCATTCCAGTTGAGAAATTATTCCATCACAACATGGAAAAAACGTATGTATGTTTCATGTGGAGCAAAGCTCAGAAACTGTGTACTAGTGTCTCTATGTACAGGTCAGTCCTTTACTTTTTTCTCTCTTAAGTTTATACTTGAAATTTACCAAGCAAGAGCCTGCTTAGAACTCTTCTGGACACTTAACATTAGTATATTTTAATTAATTAATTATCCTGTAAATAATTAATTAGCCTTGAAATGCACGGGAGCAAGGCTTTATAACAGGCGATCACCTATCATATACAGAATAAGGTTGCTCAGCTTCTGAATGTTAGTTAGTAGGGATTGTGAGCCGCCTGAAGTGGGTGCAGGGAGCTGAACTCTGGTCCTCTGGATGAGCAGTACCTGCTCATATACAGAACCATCACTCCAGTGTCTACTACAGTCAACTTTAAATTCCTCTATTTCAGCTAACTGCTTTTTCAGAGAGAAAAAAAAAAAAGACAGAGAGAGGCGGGTGAGGGAGAGAGAGCCCAGTGACAGGCAAATCAGAGAGTGGATTTCACATTAATGCAGTACAAATATTGTCCCCCAAACCTTCATATTCCTATACATTTTAAAGTAGCCGTGCCAAGAACAGAGATGCTAGCACGCAATAAGTTAAAAAGCAATCAATGAAGCGGGCAGAGGTTTGGCAGTCAGTTCTTTGCCGCAGCTCTAGGGTGGGTGCTTTGCTAGCTCCGTCTCATATGCAGAATGACCTGTGAAAACAATGACTAATCTAGTGGGTGTTGTTAGATGAAATCATCACACGTGTGAGAAAGGCCAGTCAAGCAGAATTCTTCCTACGGACGGCAAGCCTGTGCAGACAATATTTACCCTGGTTACACAAGCGCTCAAATAGCTCAAAGCTGCCTCTGCACTAAGAAGGAAGGCGAAGCCCATGGTGGTTCCTTGCTAAGTGGAGAGCTTCCCGAGGGCCAGACTTCAGGGCAAGGAGGTCACACCCTCTTTTCTCTGCTTTATCAAACACAAGCAGAAAGCTGCTGATGCCCCCTGAACTGGAAAGGTAAAGTCCTTGGACTAGCGTGGTCCCAGGGACTGTGTGGGGAAGCTCAGTCCTCCTTCCCATCCAGGGCCAATTTGCTGCGAATGACTGATACCGCAGTGTGTCTTTTCTCATGGCTTGGCCAAAATTGTTCCCAGAGATTTTGGAGTCAAAGCCTGGTCCCTGGCAGCCCTAACAAGCCAGGCTCGGCTTCCCATCCTCCACAGACCAATTAAGAGGCAAGGGATGTGAAAAGCAGAGAAAGATGTACCCAGTGGTGGCCACAGCGGGAAGAGGAGCAGATAAAGAAGTGACACATGCCAGGCTGGGGTGGTGCACGCCTTTAATCCCAGCATTCAGGAGACAGAGGCAGGTGGATCTTTGTGAGTTCGAGGCCAGCCTGGTCTACAGAGCGAGATCCAGGAAAGGCGCAAAGCTACACAGAGAAACCTTGTCTGGAAAAACAAAAAAAAAAAAAAAAAAAACAAAAGAAGTGACACCTAAGACCATTTTGGGGGCTCAACAAAACATTTCAGCAGAGGGCAGGAAGAACACATAGCAGCACAGTCCCTATCAAAGTGTGGCCCCACCCGACTCTGACCCATCGTTGCTGGGTTCTAGTCTGTCTTGAAAGGTGATCTGATAAGTTGTCAGAACTGTGTGAAATCTTTTCCTGAGGAGCAAGGTCCTCCTCTGGCATCGGGAGTCAACCTTTCTCTCTCTCCAGCAGGAGAACCCAAGGAGATTTCAATTCCCAGGGGCCCACTGTTTTTCAGTAGTCTCACAGTGAAGTGAGGGGC